CGACTTGGCAGTTTACTTGTTGCTACATACCGACTGTTAGCAAGAAGACCCAACTCATTGCATGAGCTTAGAGAGACTGTTCTGGTCAATAGTTGCATAATATCAGAGTTCTTGCAGTGCCATGTCGGGCATAGATAGTTGTTCCTGCAAGTACTTCCGGTGGAAAACTCCGAGGCAACATTATACTGTCGTCTTGACCACCTTCCGGTCGGTTTGTATTGCCTTAGACGACCGGCAGTGATGATTATCCTTCACTCTCCAACATTAAAAGCTTTTAAATCTTGTTTATTAGTGGTATTACCTCTTGGGATAAAATGATTAAAACACATTTTCCGCTGTTATTTAGGAAGTAAGAACGTAAATTACGGCTTGCCATTACCGTAAATAAATAATGAATCATGAGCAGTTTTGTTTTTGAGACATTAAAGTTGACCAGCCAATTCCTGCGGACTGGGACAGGAATTGGCTGGTCAACTTTAATGCCTCAAAAACAAAACTGCTCTCTATTAATCACCACAGAGATCCTTCCCTGCCACCCATTAGAATGTCTGACGTTCAACTTCTCGAGAGCAACTCTCTGCGGCTGCTCGGTCTCACGTTGACTGCTGACCTGAGATGGAACAAATACATTGAGTCAATTGCTTCGTCCACCGCAAGGAAAGTTGGCTCCCTGTACCGAGCCAGGAAATTTTCCTCATCGGAATCGATCCTTCAGATCTACAAATCAACAATTCGCCCTTGCATGGTGTATTGCTGCCATATATTGTCTGGAGCCCCTTCTGTTTGCCTCGGGGTTCTTGATAAGCTCCAGAGGCGGATATGCAATATAATTGGCCCTGATCTGACATCTCGTCTACAGTCACTCTCTCACAGACGCATCGTCGCCTCTCTCTGTCTTTTTTACAAATACTTTCATGGTAATTGCTCCGAGGAGCTGCATTTGCTGGTTCCCAGACTTCATAAATTCAAGCGCCCTACGAGGCTGGCATCCCGCTCTCACCCTTTCACTAATAAATGTAGCCGTCTCTTATATTCCAATAGCTTCATGTCTCGCACCTCTCGCCTGTGGTACTCCCTTCCCTATTCCTGTTTACCTGAGATCTATAATCTCCAAATATTCAAATGTAATGTCAATCGACATCTCAAGTTGCCTTGATCTATCCATTATCCTTCTCCTCATCCTTTCCTTTATCACTCCTATTTGATCTTGCTCCAAATCTTCTGTAACGCCCTAGTGGCTTCCCGCCTTGCTTGGGGTGAAACGCTTAAATAAATAAATAAATAAATTCCTTTTTCATTTCGAGGAAAGACGAAAGAAAAAGATATATCAGGAACGCTGTTTTTTATCTCATTCAGAAAACGAAAGTATTCATAATTACAAGAAGGAAAAAAGAAAAGAAAGCGAATCTATAGGAGACGTTATTTGGTAATTGTCAGGCGTATAATCGGTAATAAAGTGATGAAAATAACGAGGAGTTATTTTTGGTGATTGAATATAGGTAGAAACCAATCAAAATATGTTTCGATTTTTAGCAAGGGATATTTTTGCCGTTACTTTATAGACGAAAAATAATTTTCTAAAAGAATTAGAAAAGCCACCAATATTTATTATCGGCAGATTTTTTTCGATCGTTTCAATCGAGTTCACCCCATCCAAGGCAGTAAAGCCACCAAGAAACAAGGGCTTACCGGGTGTGGAAGAATCAGAAACAGAAAGATCAGTAATGATCGAGAGCAAAAATGGTAGGATCAAAAGTTATCCTATATATCCTGATAACATGCACTTCTTACCACTATCGTCACCCTTTTATGCTTTTACATCAACCTTCTTCAATACCCACCTAACATACACTTGGGAACAATAGTATAAAATAACTGCCTCAGCTTGAAACTGGCATGGCCAATTTAAATTTTTTGCGCCGGTAACTATTACACCTACCGCGCATCGGTTCAGTCTGCGCATTTGAAGCAAAATCAATGTATCGATTAGGACCTTTCAGATTTTTTAAATGGGAATGACAGGCAACGCTGGAAAAATTGATTTTATTTCAAATGATATTTAAACAAAATTTTGATAGATGTTCAACGAAATGAACTTGTTCTGAGTTTTTTTTTTTTTGTTTTTGTTTTTTGTTTTTTTTTTATATATAGTATTACTTTTTGTAAGGAAAAAAAATTGGATTTTCTGTCACCAGAAAAATGTCTTTCCAATAATTTAATCTAGAGACGAAAATGAAACATCAGTTGAAACATTCTCATCGTAGTTATAGCGAATATTTGTTGGGAAATCAATGCTTTGACAGATGATAGTTTCCTTCTAACTAGGCAAAAAATGGACATAGATATGAAAACCGGTTTAAATTAAACTAGGAGATTCATTCAGTACATTTCTGTCCATATTAAATATTTCACATATTGGCGGGAAACACGTCTCGAATTTATATGCAATTTAGAATTCATCTAAGCAAAATCAGTCTGTCTCAGGTACATTGATGTCTTTTTCATTCAAGCAAGGCAATAAAGCCACTAAGACACAAGAGGTTACTGAGCATGAAAGAATATGAGAAAAAGACAAAAACGTTAGTAAGAAAAAAGATCAATAAAAGAACGGCTATTAATAAGAAAAAATATAACCATTGTATTTAAATTTATGAAGATCAATGTTGTCTGAGAAACAAAAAGCGGGAAGATATTTTCACGAGTGAGAAGTGCGAGAGGAGAAAGGTCCCAAATCATCGTGACCGGGTTTTTGAGAGGACTGGCCCTTTTCAAACTGTTGATCACACCAGATGAGACGATCCCTGCAAGAAAGTATAGTTAGCATAGTTGTAAATAAAAAACGGTGGAAAAACAAAAATCTATACAACAATATATATATATATATATATATATATATATATATATATATATATATATATATATATATATATATATATATATATACCTCAAACCTAAAAGAGCCAGAAAAACCAACCAGGTTTCACCTAAGCAGATCGTCAGCTTTACCTGACGATCCGCTTAGGTGAAACCTTGGTAGGTTTGTCTGGCTCTCTAGTTTTGACTAGGTCTGCTCTACTTTTGTATTGAACACTTTTAAGAGTTAGTTGATTACTCGTATTGTTTTGCTGTTTTTTTCTTTGGGCTTTGGACCTGTATGCTGTACAATTATTTTAGACAGACGTTCATGTTCATAGCTCTTTCTTTTTTTAAACTTTTTTTTCCTTCGAGATTGATTTGACCATGAGCAAATCAAGAAACCGAAGGTTTTTCTTGAGACGAGTGTAGTTACTCTCTCTCTCTCTCTCTCTATATATATATATATATATATATATATATATATATATATATATTCGCGTGGCAATATTTCTTTCATGGCAATCTGGCTTTTCTCTGATCTGAATACATTAAAATCTCTCTTAAATCTGAAATTCATATTTAACAGGAAAGAGCAAAAGCAGTTTTATTATCATTTAAAACTCATAGTCGAACAAATGTCTAAGCCATTTTGAAAATTTACTCTGTCTCGATGAATTATCATTCAATTGAAATCTTTTGACTTCAAACAATATACAGTGAGGTATTCTGTTTTATGCGACAGGATCTGAATAGAGCCTGAAACAAATACACACATAGAAATGCGTTTTTATTTTAATGAAGCTCCGCCTCTGTGCTTGTAGCCTAGTATAGCAAATTAAGGCGAAAATGTACAAAGAGTCACATTCAAAGATACTGACATTATCTCTTACACTGTCAACAGCACTTCGAATGAATGTGCCGAATGCGTCCCCAGATGAACAAGACACTTCCACTGCCAATAAGGGGCAACAATCTCGGGTAGATACTTGCAGAAACATATAAAAATTAGACAACTGGTTAACATTTCAAGCTTTCACATACAACCAGAAACAATGTTGAAATTATGAATCAAATAGAAACCAAAGAAATGTCTACTTTTGTACTCATGGTCTTGAAATTATAGATCCCAAAAAATAAAATGGTTACTTTGTAATTAAATCTGCGTTTTCCTTAACTTTGATCTCTCTCTTTCTCTTTCTCTCTATATATATATATATATATATATATATATATATATATATATATATATATATATATATATAAATATAGTGTTTCGTTGTTTCATATATATTTATATATTTATACATTCAGTCACTCCTTTGTCTCTTAGGAGTTATATATATATATATATATATATATATATATATATATATATATATATATATATATAGTTTCACAGCTCATCAGTGTGGCTAGACAGCCAATTGCCTCAAGCCGGGATCGACACCAAAATGATTTGTCATCAGATCAGTCGGAGATTATACCCCTGAGCTATAAGCGCCCAGTTGAAGAAAGCTAATTTTTACGTATTTAGTGAGAGAGTGAGACAAAGACAGAGAGTTATGTACAGTAACCCCTTAAAAATTGATACCATTTAAAACATCTGAACAACTACATCTTACAGGCCAACGGAAAGAAATGTTGAATAATAATGTATATAAGAAATGTTGAATAATAAATTATTTATTTCTCAAAATTCACACGTTTTCGCTGACCGTAAACCTCGTTGGAGGCCTTCATGTTCAAGGTAACTTTTGCTCACCTTAACGATACAGTTAAACTCTTTTGGCATTGTAAAACTATTACTGCATTATGTAGACTTGTAAACCTGGCAAAATGTTTTCATTAGAAAGGCAATACCTCAAAAATGTATGAAACGAAGATGAATGCCAATTTGAGATTGGAAAAAATACTCTCAATCACCAATTCCTATATTTTTATTGCTCACACACCTTAATAATGTTTTTTTTCTTTTTCTCGTATTATTTAACATTCAGTAAATCCTTTGTCTCTTAGCAGTTTTATTGACGTGCTTGGCGTGAAATGATTTTTATTGCTCCCACTCTTTAATAATGTTTTCTTTCTTTTTTCTCATATTATTTAACATTCAGTAACCTCTTTGTCTCTTAGAGGCGTTATTTACTTGCTTGGCGTGAAATGATTAAAAAAAAAACTTTCAACAGTGACTTGATCGCCCACATCTTGAATGGATATTGCACATAAAAAAGATTCATCTGAAGCAACCATTACGCTAAAGGTTAACAGGTAGGACTGTAATTACAGTCTATAGAAAGACCTATTCTTAATTTCGTGTTTATGTCGTCCTATGATTGGTCGCTTGAATAATGTATTACTCAGGGACAAAACAGCAGTTATCAGAAAAACGAATTTGTTGACAAAGATCGAAAAGCTCGACACTTGAAAAAAGATGGGCTGAAGGAAATGGACATATATTTCTCTAATCAGTTGATATTTTAAAATCGTAGATTTGGAAGCAAAAACGAAATATATGGAACCATTATGGTGTTAGAAATTTAGAATGCTTTGGCTCATGGGCAACTCATTTGAACTCTGATATCTTGGAATTAAATAAAAAGATACTATACTTTTTTTATTCTCATGAGTAGACCAGTAGAAAATATTTTGTTCAAATATTAATTAAGGAGTTCTTTTGCCTTTGAAAAATGCTAGTCAGTCTTTTCTTAAATGGATATTATGTGCGTAACTCCGAGGGTCGTTCCTTATTGTGGTGGAAGGGATTTTGTGGTTCGACGATGCCGTCTGGAGTTCTAAACAATTGGTAGGGACACCCTTGGGGGCAAGGACCCATGTTAACAGTGGATGAAGCAGATGAGGATTACAACAGATCTTAACGGTTGAGCCAGTTGATGAAGAGACACTATTGACCCAACACAGTTGGAGAACCTTGTAAAAGTTCGGATGGGCTGGTGGTCTCTCTGCGCCGCCGGAGTTGCGTACTTCGAGGAGGGGAAACGAGGAACGCTCGACGGAAGGCGATGCCAGCGTTATCTCCAACCTGCCAATTTCGCACTGGGCATGTTTCCCTGCTACCTGTACCCGAGAACTTGTCGTTCACAGATCGGGCTGCTATCTCATTTGGCAGCCCACAGAAGATGGACGGAGATGGATGGACAGCATAGTCGTCTGCAATGAGAGACAGCCTAATAGAGAGAGAGAGAGAGAGAAAGAGAGAGAGAGAGAAAGAGAGAGAGAGGGAAATTTTACTGAAGGCGCTACTCGTTGTACCTGAATTCTATGTTTAATTTCATATATTCCGCGAAGGAAGGTCATGAAATTAAGGGTATGGGTCACTTCCTGGCAAGGTGAAGTCCGCCTTAAATAAATTCCCTATATTGGCACTTTCTTTCTACTTTGATTTTCGTTCACCTTCAAACAATACCTGCAAAGCGAAGCGTCGGTATAGAATGGATGACAGGAGCAGATTTTCATGAAAGCGGAAGCTTCTATTCTTGCACGTTGGCGGTGAATGTAGTCATTTTTTTATGGGCCGTGTTTCTTCAGGACAAGGACGACCATGACTCTCCAATAGGTTTTAATAGGTTTTTTCTTTTTCTTATTTCCCCCATACCCTGTTCTACCATCCATTTGCTCAAACACATGAAGTATGTTACGTGCTGTTTCCCTTGTTTCGCTTTCCCCCACTCTGCCTTGTGAGTATCACGTTTTCCAAACCCTTCTTCCTCAAGACGTTCCCATGAAATTCCATCTGTCTCTTCCTGATGTTAAGTAAGCATCGATACCATCATCATAAAGAGAACGATCAGCAAAGAACAAATTAAGTTCTTGAATAAGAGATAAAGCGGATGTGGCTTCCAGTCTTTTCGATATTAGTTTTTTTTATTCCTTTGTCTTTCACACACCGGGGTATTTATTTTATTGGTATTTCTTATTTTTTTCTTTGTTTTGAATTGCAGATGCTTTACCATGTCAGACAAGAAAGACAAATATATCCAGATGGTGCACATGTGTCTCAGCCAAGATCATGCAAGAATAGATCTGCGCTCAGCGTCCTTCAGTGAGAGAATCTAGGTTCAGGATTCACCTAAGAGATGACCTCTTGGCCGCCGGTTGCAGATCAGTTCGATGTGTATACATGTGGTAGACAGCTGCATTTGCGTTACAAGCGTGGGAAAGAATCATATTACAGGAAACTTATGTATAATCTCTCAGACATGGCAAGCTCAAATGTAAGTTTCGGATTCGAGGCCACGGGGTCTGCATACACACACTGTCTAAAAATATATGACGATGTACTCGAGTGAAATAAAATGTAATATTAAATATGAAAAAGTAAGGCTCTTGACCCAAGAAATTAGCTTACAAAGACATTTTATCGCATTTATTAGCCTTATATCTGTCTAATAATATATAATGATGTATCCGATTGAAATAAAATGTTATGTTAAATATAAGAGAGTAAGTCTCGTGTTATCATTTGACACAAGAAATTTCCTTCGAGAGACATTTTATCTCATTTATTAGCCATAGATCTATTCCAAGTTTTATTCGCATTGATTACGAGTAAAAGTTTTCAAAATGAGATCATTGGAAACTGTAATTTTTAGATTGGCAGATATGGAAATTAAAATTGAAATGATAAAATGGCGGAAAAGATGATTCTCGTGTCAGCAATAATGAAATAATGATGGTAAATCAATAATAATAATAATAATAACAATGATGAATGGACAAGGAGATGTTGAAAACCTTTTGATCAGAAGCATTTCCCTAATTCCAATCAAATGATCATAAATAAACTTTTTTTGGTTCAACAGAGAATGTTTCAACATCTTTCGATTTTTTCTTCTTCTTGTTCTTGTTGCTGTTGTTGCTGCTGTTCTTTTCTTCTTCTTCTTCTTCTTCTTCTTCTTCTTCTTCTTGTCATTATTATTATTATTATTATTATTATTATTATTATTATTCTGCTTGTCCTTGCTTTAGTTCCTTACTTAGCACGTACCCTACACCTGGCAACGACTGAGGAAACCTGGAGTTGTAATATTAAATATGATGACTTCTTGGCCACCGGTTTCAGGTTCAGTTGACATGTGAACATGTAACAGGCAGCTGCTTTTGGGTTTGCAAGGGCGGTATATAAATCCCCACCCCAGCGAAGTAATACGCAGTCTCTCTCAAACATCGCAAACTAGAATGTAAGCTCTACGTTTCAGATTCGATGCCACGGGGTCTGTATACACACACTGTCTGATAATATATGACGATGTACTCGAGTGAAATAAAATGTAATAATTAAATATGAAAAAGTAAGGCTCTTGGCACAAGAAATTTGCTTACAAAGATATTTTATCTCATTTATTAGCCTTATATCTATTGCTAGTTCAACTTCCATTGATCTTACTCATTATAAAACCCAGGTTGTGTGTGTGTGTGTGTGTCTCTACGTTTATATATTGGATCGGATTTCCTACATTTTTCAACCGATTTCAACGAAACTTCACAGGACTACGTAAAATTGCCTTGCGGTGGTTCTGACAGCACCAAATATTGGAAAAACGCAATTGTTTTTGCCCAAAATCAATTTGAAAACACGATTAAGAGGCATTAATTAAAGGGGGACAACTTACTTCGAGTTATACTTATAAAACCCAGGTTGCTTGTGAGTGTGTATGTGTTCATTTATATATGGAATCGGATTTCCTACATTTTTCAACCGATTTCAACAAAACTTCACTTTTGGGGGGCAGGTAGTGTTTCTTATTGTCTTGCACACTTTTTTCTTTATTTTTACATTCAGGATGCTTTAAAAATTCCATTGACAAGACAATTGTTTATAATAAAATTCTATTCAATCGGTAGACTCATAACGATTGAAAACAATGTTTTTGTTTGAGTTTGGGTTTGACCAATTCGTAAAAAAACAGATAATTACGACATGCATGGCCGTCAACCTTAAACAATAATCTTTGTCAATTTTATTTTTCAGTCTTTATGTTGGTCGATACTTGATCTATCTCTTACTGTTACATCCCCGGGCAACGCCGGGCTCTACTGCTAGTTACGAATGAAAGTTTTCAAGATGACATCATTGTAGGCCGTAATCTTTAGATTGACAGATATGAAAATTAAAATTGAAATATAAAAGATGATGGAAAAATAATTCTAAGAGCGAAGATGAAGAAAAAACGACGGCAAATCACTTAAAATAAAAACTAAAATTGAAATGGTTTGCTGTAACCGTAAGTCCTATGCTGTTTCTTTTCTTACACTTCTCGTTCTTGTAACTCTCTTCCACCTTTTCGCTTTCCAGTCAAGTTTGATCTTCAAAAACGGTAATGGAATGTCAATCGTTATCATCTGTTGGTTTAGTTCCAGATCTTTTGTTGTTCTGGTTCCTTAATAACGTATTATTTTTTCTTATATTCTTTCGCAGTCAGTAATACTTGAGTCTTAGTGACTATATTGCTTTGGTTAAAGGCGAAATACTACTACTACTACTACTACTAATAATAATAATATTTTTTCTGACAAGTACAGCTTATGTAGGACTTTTTCTATGCAAATATTCTAAATAAAAAGTCTAATAAAAATGTTCAAGTACAACCCACACCTTACGAAGGGCTTTATCTATGTAAAATATGTGAGATTTTTTTTTTCAAAACTGCTCAGTGGAAAATATCATGATGCCATTTCTGACCTTAGGTCTCTGGTCGGGACTTGGAAATAATTGAGAAACCATAGGAAATAAAATAATAATAATAATATCTGAATCCTTAAAGAAATACAAAAATTGTACTCACAAGTACAGCTCACACATTACGAACGGCTTTATCCATATAAAATGTGTGTGATCTCAGTTTTTTTGACACAGATACAATTCGATCAACAGAAACATTGCTGAGGAAGTTTTTCTAGGTGATGAAACGCGTTACACGGAATTTTTTTGCCTTGTAATTAATTTGTATAATAATCGTAACAATGATAAAAATAACAACGACGATGAAAAGAATGATGATAGATATGTGAACGATTTGAGTGAATAATAACAATAATAATAATAATGAGTGCAAAATATCATGATGGCATTTCTGAGCTTAAGCCTCTGCTTGGGAAAGAAATGAATATACACCAGAAATCAAAGGAAATAAAATAATAATATCCAATGGTGAATGGACAAGCAGATACTGTCAGAAGCACTTCCCTATATCTGATCAAATGACTACACAAAAAAATGTTTCAGCATTTCCCAATTTCTTCTTCTCCTTCTTCTTCTTCTTCTTCTTCTTCTTCTTCTTATTATTATTATTATTATTATTATTATTATTATTATTATTCCTTAGTTAGCACGGACTTTACGCACTGCCAATACATCCCAAATAATGAATTATTCCATTTCCGTTACGGGGAAATACGGAGACGCCACCTCAGAGACGCCGTTTGGTTTAAGTGAAAGGAAGTGAAAATGAAAGTGAAAGAAAGAAAGAAAGAAAGAAAGAGAGAAGGAAAGAAAGAAAGAAAGAAGGAGGAGAGATCGAAGTCGATAATGTTATCATGCATTTAACGTCTGCAGTGAAGTGAAGTGAACAAAATTGTCAATTTTAAAATCTTTTCATTTATGGCCCCTTCTTTAAATAATGAATAGAATTCGTTCATATTATTAATATTTGAATATTCAGGTAAAGTTGCAACGCACAAATATTGAATGATTCAAGAGGGAATTTCAGCTGGTAATTTTTAGTCGTAGAACTCGCAATAAAATTTTATGAAATATGATGCATCAGAAAATCCATTTAGGAAACCGTGATTTTTTTACGGCTACTATTGTTTTTTTATTATTATTATTATTATTATTATTATTATTATTATTGTTGTTGTTGTTGTTGTTGTGTTGTTGATGTTGTTGTTGTTGTTATTTAATTTCCGTCTGGGTCCTAAACCAGGGATGGCTTCGTGTTATTTTCTATGTAACATTTTTATCAAAAAAACAAATTAAGAGCACAGACATCTTGCATAGAAAAAGTCTTACATAAGGTGTAAGCTGTACTTGTGAGAACGATTTTTTTATTTCTCTAAGTCATAGGCTATCAGGGATGCCTTCACTGAATCTATCAAAACTATTTCCAGCCATAATTCAAATTATCCATATCTTCATGTTCAACATTTTTGAGATTTACACTTCATGATACTTCATTATTATTATTATTATTATTATTATTATTATTATTATTATTATTATTTTTATTTTCTTTGATTTCTGGCGTTTACACATTTCTTTCCGGGTCCCGCCCAGGGACCTAAGGTTAGAAATGGCGTCATGACACTTTCCACTGACAAAAAAAAAAAAAAAATTACATAGATAAAGCCCTTCGTAAAGTGTGGGCTGTACTTGTCAGAACAATTTTTTGTATCTCCTTGAGGCATGGACTTCCAGGAATCCCTTCAATTAGTCTACTGCAATCATTTCCAACCAGTCCTAGGGCTCCAACTACAACAGGGATTGTTGATGTTCCCATATGCCACATTTTCGAGATTTCTAATTAAAGGTCCTTGTATTTTGACAACTTTTTGAATATCTTCAAAGATACATTGCAGTCAGCAGGGACTGCCATGTCAATAAAGAGGCACGGTTTTTGTTTGTTGTCTTTAATAACAATATCTGGCCGATTGGCCTTGATTGTTCTGTCAGTGTGTATTGTGTAGTCCCATAGAATTGTAACAGGTCCTATCTCCGTAACCGGGTCTGGGTGGTGTTCATACCAGTTTCTTTCAGTTTCCTTCCCGTAGAAGTTGCAGATTTTCCAGTGCAGATATTGGCCCACACTGTCATGTCGGGTTTTATATTCAGTGGGTGCCAACACCGTGCAACCTGATACAAGATGATCAATCGTTTCTGGATACTTATCGCAGAATCTGCATTTTGGGCTGACACAATATTTTAGTATATGTGCTTGATAATTCCTAGTTAGCAAGCATTGGTCCTGCGCAACAAGGATAAAACCTTCAGTTTCCGCTTTCAACCCTGCACTACGTAGACACTGATGGGTACGGGTTTTGTCTACGTCAGCTTGTTTGGTACGGGCAGAGTATTGGCCATGAAGCGGTTTATCTTGCCATCGCTTCTGTATCTGGTCGTATTGTGCTGTAATTGCATCTCTACGCCCATTTGAAACTCCATTTTGAATTTTTTGGCTTCTTTCATTACGGAGTAAAGACGCTTACTACTTTCATGTTCCTTGACGCATACCATCATCCAGTCTTCTGTAGTTTCCAAATATCTTTGGAGGCCAATTGTTGTAGTTTTGTAGGACAGTTCTAGTTGAACTAATCCTCTGCCTCCTTCGTATCTGGGCACATACAGACGATCAACACCAGCTTTGGGATGATGCACGCGATAGCAAGTGAGAAGCTTTCTCGTTTTGGCGTCCATTCGCTTAATTTCAGCTATGGTCCAGTTAAGAACATTAAAGCTGTATTGCACCACATGGACAGCCAATGTGTTTAAGGCTTATATCCTGTTTTTTGAGTTTAGCTCAGTATTTAGTACTAGACGTACACGCCTGTAGTACTCTTTTCTTATTTTTTTCCTTCATTTGGGGGTGTTGTATGCCATCTCCTTCGCTAATTCCTAGGTACTTATTATTATTATTATTGTTATTATTATTATTATTATTATTATTATTATTATTTCCTTGGGTTTCTGTTGTATACACATTTCCTTCCGAGGTCCAACCAGAAACCTCAGGTCAGAAATGACTTCATGACATTTTCCAATGATCATTTAAGATCAAAAAGAGAAAAATATCACACACACTCTACATAGATAAAGTTCTATATAATATATCTGTGAGTAGAATATATTTTTCTATTTCTTTATGGCTTGGCTATAAGAGATCCCTTCAGTGAGTCTATCAGGACCTTTTCCAAGCAAACCAAGATTCCAACTACAAATGGAATTTCTGATGACCTCACGTGTCACAGTTTTGAGATTTTGATTTCAAGAAAGTTTTTGAAGAACTTCAAAGATACATTAAATCTGCGTGACTACCATGTCAATAATATACAACATTCTGTTCTTGTGGTCATTGAATACGATGTCTGGGCGATTAGCTTTCATTGTTCTGCCTGTGTGTATTGTAAAGTCCCATAAAAATGTTACAGGCCCCCTCACTGTAACCTGCTGTGAGTGGTACTTATACCAATTTCTTGCAACTTTCTTTCCGTAAAAGTTGCATATTTTCCAATGCAGATATTGACCCACTCGGTCATGCTCAGTTTTATATTCAGTGGTTGGAATACTGTACAACCTGATACAAGATTGCCAATTGTTTCTGGATATTTATCAAAGAATCTGCATTTTAGGCTAATGCATTTTTTTCGTAGATGTGTTTGGTAATTTCTAGTTAGCAAGCATTTGTCCTGGACAGCAAAAATAAAACGTTCGATTTTAGCTTTTAACCCTGCACTACGTAACCACTGATTGGCATGTATTTTCTCTAGGTCAGCTTATTTGGCACGGGAATAGCATTGACCAAAAAAAATGGATTATTTTACAATCGTTTCTGCATTTGGTACATTGCATTTTTAGATACTTTGTCGCTGCAGTAGGTGCATTATGGTTTACTTGCACGCCTTCATCGGCTTTAAATTCTATTTTGAATTTGTTGGCTTCCTTTATGACTGAATAACTTTTCTTATTTCTTTCATGTTCTTTGACACAGATCATCATTCAGTCTTCCGTAGTTTCCAAGTATCTGTAAAGAGCCATTGTTGTAGTTTTATAAAACAGTTGTGGTTGAACTAATCCTCTTTCTTCTACGGATCTGATTCATGCAGACGATCAACATCAGCTTTAGGGCGTTGCATGCAGCGGCAAGTGAGGAGCTTTCTCGTTTTGTCATCCATTTGATAAATGTCAGCTATGATCCAATTAAGGATGTTGAAACTGCATTGCACCACAGGGACACCCAAAGTGTCTATGGCTGATATACTGTTTTGTGAATTCATGTCGGTATTTAACACTATACGTACTGTAATATTCTTCTCTTACTTTCTACTGCATTTGGGATGGTGCATTCCATCTCTCTAGCTGACTCCTATGTATTTATAAGTTTCTTCTTATTCAAAGTCTGATATTAACCATTTAGAATAGGTGATTATTTTTGTTTTATTTTTAATTTGTATCCATTGTTATAACTGTCTAGTTCATGCCAAAGGCAGATTAAGGGCAGACAGAACAGAAGGGTCGACATGCCCGTGAATAAATGACAATAAAGATGTTTGGCAAAAAAGATTGGTAAATAGTTATCTTTTTATTATATATTTCATTTCTTTCGCCGGGGTAGGAAAAGGTATGTAATGTTATTTTCCTGCATTAAGGAATCAGTTTACTGTTATTATAATCAGCATCCACCCAAGTCATCGTGCTTTAGCTGATGTAGACAGAAGCAACAGTCAGATATTTAATGTTGACCGTTTAAATCATGTTCGAAATGAATGATAATATAATCGTAATAAACAAAAGAAGAGGAAAAAATGAAGGAAAATGGAAAAGAAACTGAATGAAAACGGTTAAGTTGCATGCCCAGACACGTTTAAAAATAAAATGAAAAATGTGTCTTTTAAATCATGTTAGAAGAGAATAGTTATTTATTTATAATAAACAAAAGCATAGGAATAATGAATGAAAAGCGTATGGAAAAATGAATAAAAAACAAAAGGAAAAGTGGATGAAAAGCAGAGGGATAGTGGATGAAAAGCAAAGGAAAAATGGATGAAAAGTAGAGGAAAAGTAGATGAAAAGCAGGGTGAAAGTGGATGAAAAGCATGGCGAAAGTGGAGAAAAAACAGAGGGATAGTGGATGAAATGCAAAGAAAAAGTGGATGAAAAGCAGAGGGATAGTGGATGAAAAGCAGAGGGATAGTGGATGAAAAGTAGAGGGAAAGTGGATGAAAAGCAAAGGGATAGTGGATGAAAAGCAGAGATATAGTGGATGAAAAGCAAACAAAAAGTGGATGAAAAGCAAAGGAAAAGCGGATGAAAAGCAAACGAAAAGTGTATGAAAGGCATAGGGAAAGTGGATGAAAAGCAGTGGGATAGTGGATGAAAAGCAAAGGAAAAGTGGATGAAAAGGAGAGGGAAAGTGGATGAAAAGTAGAAGGAAAGTTGATGAAAAGTAGAGGGAAAGTGGATGAAAAGCAGAGGGATAGTGGATGAAAAGCAGAGGGATAGTGGATGAAAAGTAGAGGGAAAGTGGATGAAAAGGAGAGGGAAAGTGGATGAAAAGTAGAAGGAAAGTGGATGAAAAGTAGAGGGAAAGTGGATGAAAAGCAAAGGAAAAGTGGATGAAAAGCAGAGGGATAGTGAATGAAAAGTAGAGGGAAAGTAGATGAAATCGGCTTATTACATATCAAGACACGTTTTAAAAAAAAATCAATTTAAAAATGTATCTTTAAATCATGTTAGAAGAGAATAACTCTATAACTATGCAAAGTAGGAGAGAACTGAAAAAATTACGCTAAATTACATTATACCCAGACAAGTTTCAAAATGTAAATTTAAAAACCTGTTAGAACAGAATAATAATAATATAATTATAGTAAAGAAAAACGAAAGGAAACGAATGAAAAGCATCAGCGTAATCTATATCTGTGATCTTTGTGGCGGGATATCTATTGCTATTCTTGAATATGACGTAAACCCGTTGTCTTTAATGGTAAAGACAGAAGTCCTGAGAATGTAATCCAAGCAAATAATGAAAATATAGATTGCTAAAATGTCACCTTGTAACACTTCTGCAACAATTTCAAAGAAACATGCACCGCCACCTGGAAATCGTACCAATGAATATATGTTTGTTTAGTAATTCTCTCCGATTTAATAAACCAAGCAGAAAACCTTCTCCATAGTCTTGAATATTCATTCAAAGGTATCGGTCTCTATGATAACTCAAGCAAAACAGAATACATATGCTTAAATCAAAATGGAATAAACAAAACAATATTTGGCCCTCCTCTCGACTGTGTATAAGAAATTACTTATCTTGGTAGTAAAATCTCTAGCTGTGAAAGAGCTGTAAACACATGCATCGGTAAAAGTATTGTGGACAAGTTCTCTATTGTTGAAATCTAGACTTCTGTAAACTTCGTAAAAAGGACCTTCTGTCAAGCAACTGTCCTATTGTATGGCGGCTCAGCATGGACCCTTACTCCAAAACTGGAAAGAAGATTGGATGGAGCCTACACTCGTATTCTAAGAGTGCCTTTGAATATCACTTAGGGGATCGTCTGGTCAATGATCCATTGTATGGGAACATTCGTCCAGTATCCGACATCATCAAAAAGCGTAGAATCAGATACGCGAGGCATTGCTGGACAATTGAAGATGTAATTGTTAGTGGAGTTCTTTTGTGGGAGCCTACAAAAGGGAGAGCAAGCAGAGACCGACAAGCCAGGACCTATATCACAAATATTTGTGAGACCATGACCTGTATTCCCTCTGATATATAGAATAGAAATGGATTGCGACAGACCATCATGGAAATTGTGAACGGAGTGTCACCGGTTAAGGAGATGACAGGACAGGCTTCAAAAAAATTTCATTTAAACATTTAAAATTCCAGAGCACCAACCACTTCAACATTTACTGTCAGTGAATAACTATAATTGACATACGAGTTTGTATATCTATCCCATCTTTTCCCTATAGATATGGAATTCCACATCAGAAACATTCCTTTAATCCAATAAAGTCTTTCTAGTTGATGAAACATATTTATCATAAGGTTTTGCATTTCAATTCATTTGTTTAATAATAATAATAATAATAATAATAACAACAACAACAACGACCATGATGATGATAGATAGATAGATAGATAGATAGATATGTGAAGAATTCTTGTGAATAATAATAAGAAGAATAACAATATTTATATTTATTGGAGGCAATGTGGAGTAATGGATAGCGGCTCAGATTGAGGAATTGAAGAACCGGGTTCAAAAATGACGTCACACATGTTTTGAAATAATTGTCGGACTTTGTGACGTCATTTGTTTTTTTCATTTGGATACGCATTGAGCAGATATGAAAGTACGAGAGAGAATCTTGGAAGTTTGTTATTTAAAAGCAGCAAAATCGACCTAGCTAACCGAACGATCCTCTGTGGCCCAATCAGTTAAAGCACGTCTGGCTATATGACGGATCCATATAGAATACAGGTTCGATTCCTGGCGGGGGACGAATATTTTCTATGAAAATTTCTCGGACATTCAGGACGGTAAATGTTGTTAATACTGTTTATTATAAACAGAGCATTTTCTTAAATATTTGTATCTATAAAAAGAATGTCCATGTCATGTTTCCTTATGGTACTGCAGGAAGAACAGGATAACAAAAAAAATAAAAAATGCAAATTCCTTACTACAAATGAAATACAATTAGAAATGGCAAATTCTTTAATGAGACACTTTTTTTCTGCTTATTGTTCGATAACTTCTCCACATCTGGTGAAATATTTGTCGATGACAGAAGCAAAGCATCATCCAGGCTGACATCACTCAAGCTTATTTTTAAAAGGCTTTTAGTATATTTCATTTTCGAAAAAAAGTTGTTCACAAGCCTATGTACTTCTAAATAATGATATCA